GCTTTAAGACTCGTATTTCGATAAATAATTATAGTCTTTAACAATACATCGGGTGCTCGTGTTTTCGAAATTAACGCGAGACGTGTGCGATGGAATAAATGTAAATTGACGTCGTCGCAGTGCGGAAATAATTCTTAGAATATCTCTAGAACCGCATGCGTAGGTCCGCCGCTGCGCTCGTCACGTATATTTTACAACACAATTATTACCGTCGTAATTAATTCCTATGACATTTAAACGTGAGAGGCGGCGTTGTCGTCGTGGTCGATGCCTACGACCACGAAACAACAGCGCACGACAACAAAACTAATCTTCGGGCTAAGGCGCGAACGTAACGACGAGCACGGTTCTATGCGAAAGTCAAATTTGAAAAAAATAAAAAAACAACACAAAAGTGCGAACGCGCGCTTCCGTCCGAAATGTGTACGGTCATAAAATAAATTATACGCTCGATTATTTACGCGGCGATCGATATTATTATTACGATAATAAGCACACACGGTTCGCGCGATTACACGATAACAATTTCGAATACGGCAGATCTTCACGAGTACGCCCATTATTCGTGCCGTGGTTTAGACGAATATTAACGCCGAATGTTCACCCGTCCGCGCTAAGTAGGTACATAAAACAATATCATGACCGCTATACGTTTACTTCTTATACTCCTGCATGAGTGATCAAGGTGTCGGGTGGTGATGCACGTTTTGAAATATAATATCTAATAGCCATGTTTAAGAAAATTGGTTCTATGTTAAACGGCAGGCGGGAGGTGATGGTTTTTCAATAAACTAAACAAACACATATTTTGTAACATTATAAAACAAAATATATAGGTACATTATCAAACTAAAAAAAAAAACATCACGTTATGCGCATAACGTTAAGTTTTCAAAAAATGATTAATTTGATGTATTGTACAGAAGACTTTAATGTTTGGTAGAAATTTCGAAATATTATAGACGAATGGTAAACCTATTTTTGGGACCTTTAAAATCGTCTACGGTTGTGCACAAAAGTTGACATGAACTATTATAATACAATTTATAGTAAATCCGAACCACAGTTTTATAATTAATATATTTGCAAACAAGCTCCTTGCACATATTTGAAGTTTATGAACACTATACAAACGAGCGGCTTCGTTAAACTGTTTTTGCCCCAAGACCCGATAATTCCTTATGTAATATTAAAAATTACCTATTTATCGTTAACATAATAATCGTTCGCAATAGTTCGGGATTTTTTCTCGGTAAGAGGGAGGAGGGTTCAGTAATATTTTTACGCATCAGTGGATAAATAAAGCACTAACAGCGACATGACACCTTTTTTTTTCGACACGTGTTCATCGTCGAACATTGGCCAGAGGGGAACTCGGCGAGGGTCCCCCCACCCAGAAATGACCTCGGAACCACGCAACACCATTTACCGAATGTGTATGTGCATGCGAAAACAGCTGAACAAATTATAGTTTTTTTTATTTCAATTTTTTTTTTTTACTCTTTAATTAGACGGATTCGTCCGATAAAAGAGAATAATATAAGAATATCACACTGTGACGACGACATTGTGTGTGTCTCCTCTTCACTTCTACCATCACGACCAACCTTCCCGATCGCGCGAGTCGAACGTCATGCAGTGCAGTTTTTCGGGCGTTAGACTTTGTGCGTAATACACGGCTCTACTGCGCCCGATTTTGATTAATATTCGTCCACATCGCACCAAATAACTATGTCGTAAAAATTTGTAGTGGTACACAAGTTAAATAATAAATTAACATATATACCGTTTAAAAGAAAAAAAGTAATAACCCACATTTCACGTTTCATGGAACACACGCATAATCAACATAAAATAATATACAAAATAAAGGAGTTAACGAAAAAATACCAAATTATATAAATATAGTTTGAGCTATTTTTAAGCATTCAAATATAATAATTTAGTACACCAAACCAAAAGGTAAATTTTCCATCTACGAACCTGGCTCATTATTTTAACGATTCCCATTTAGTATTACTTTAATTGCAGTACGTATATACGTTTGTCAGTAAAAAAAAAATGTACGATAGATTTCTTTTTTGCCTTTTAGTTTTAACAAACCAATTAGTAATAACAATTATTATTAACGTGATTATTATTTTTACGAAGTAACGTAGTTAATGTATTCCAATGAATATTAAAAATAAAACCTGTTTAGATTTAGTTGACAATTTAATATTGTAATAAAATATTACATATTTTTAATAAGGCTTTTTTATAATTTAATTATAAATATTTGAAAACGTGACTAATAATATAATGACGTGTAAATAAACACAATTTCTGATCATTGAAATGTTTTTTAGGGAAAATTCCCGGGAAAATCATTATTTTAAAAAGAAAATCTAAAAATATAAGTTTTTATAGAAAAATACAGTAAGACAATTAAAAATAACAAAAATAAATAGAGAGTTATGTGGTGTTAAGCGGTTAAAAATATCGAACTTGTAAAACTGTATAAGAGATTAACTTTTTTTCAATGTCATAAAATCTCCTTTTTAGAAAAATATTTTATTTTATTTCTCTAACACGCTACCTTCAACTTACAGAATGTCATAAAATTAATAGGACACTATAATAAAATAATTATTTGGGAACCTTACGTGTACATGCAGGTTACATTTATACACACATACACAAACGACATACATCACACAAATACAATCGCTAGCACTTAATGAATACGTGAAAGGTAAATTATTACAATATTAAAAACATATATTTAATAATTATTAATAAAATCGTATTAGTTATTATTTATTATACACATATTTTTAGGCGATAAGCGGAGGGGAGTCAGGAGAGTTGTAAAATTTAATTCGCTGCTTCTAGTGTATAACCAACCAGCAGTTTACCCAGGACCGGCCTCTTTGGGCGTTATATACAACGATTGCGTATATTATAGACGGGATTTACCTACCATTATCGTCGTTATTATTGACAGACACCACTTTTGTTTTTACATTTATAATAGTTGCATAAACTGGAAATTTGAAAAATAACAGGAGGCAAAATAAAATGCTACCGCACAATTCGATAATCATTCAAAACGTACGTAATATTTTCAATTTAGTTTCAATTCAAGATGTAATAATATTTGCGAAATTTAAGTACGGTCGGTTACGGTCCAAATTCTAATCGGATTTTTATTGCTTCCTCTGCTTTAGGTAGTAATTACAATTAAATTCGAATCGACGAAAAAAATAAATAAAACGAAGCATTGTGTTTTAGATAATATGTCTCCATTTAACCGTTATCTACCCCACAATTGAACCGTCAACGTGATTTACAATCAAAAATAACCTTCGTGTGTTCTTTTTTTCACAAAGACTTCGCTTAAACAAGGACTCCAAAAAACATTCTCCAAAAAAATCACGTCCTATAAAAACAATTTGAACCTTTTGGAGAGTATATACACCCAGTACCTGTCTGACAATTCCAGTTCGATTGAATGGCTGCTACAATGAAGTCTGGAAATCATCTGTAAATCGTATTTTTATCGAATTCACCGAAGTACTGAAACGCGTTCAGTATAATAATATAATATGTGTAATATTATATACATTACAATTTACAATGTTACAATATAGTCGACGTTTAAAAAGTTGTCTTTTATATTATACAAATAGTGAAACACACGTCATAAGCTAATCATGTTGCATTTTTTTTGGCTTGGAGCCAACAACAAACCGTGGTGCGATCATTTTTGAATTCGCTACTGGTGAAAAATATAACGACCAAACGTTCATAATGGTAAATACATACGGTTGGTCGGACATGAAAAGCTCGTGTTTAATTAATGCATAATATTAGGTAAATTAAATTTATAAACTTAACGCGAGTAAAAATCAAAATATATTTAAGCACCGTAAAATATATTTACTCATATCAAAATCATATATAGTGCATTTTGTTTAAGGTTTTTATATAAATACGCTGATAATCGGTAACTTTTTTAGAGTTGATTTTGAATACATAAAAATTATTAAAACATTTTAAATTTGAAACATTAAATCTTAAAAAAGTTAAAATGATTGTACATTTAAATTAATATTAATAATTAAAATTGATAAAGCGTTTTATGATAACTGTTCAATATTCTAAGATACTCTAAAAACGTTTATAATATTTTGGAATAAAAACCAGTTTTTAATTTAGTAAGATAGAACATATTTAAATATAAAATAAATACATATTATAATATAGTAAATTATTAATAAAATTGTATTAAGTTATTAGATATATATATATATATATATATATATATTCATAAGATTCATAAGATAATATTTATTAACTTGTTTTGATAATTAATTATTTTAAACATTTATGGAATATATTGGATGTTATGATGTAGAAGTAAAAGAAATTAATTGTACTTAATATTAAAAATAATTGTATATGTATAATATATTTTAGAATTAAAAATATTAAAACAAAACGATATTATAATTTAATAGGAAAACAATTTTAAATACAGGCACCTAAGTATATTCTATTATTTACGTGTCGATAACCGGTACGATTGTCAGATTGTCACCAGTTGCCTTTTTCAAAGCACGATTGGGAATAGTGCGGTACCACCCGACCACTTGTTGCTTGTAAAAAAAACAGCTGGCACAACGCCTCGAAAGCAATATATATGCCTTCTCCATTCAAACAATTCATTATATTATCACCCTTTAGGTCGTCGTTTAAGTATAAAAAGCAATTAAACAAATTGGCTAAAAATATCGTATTGTAATTTTAACCAAATAATTATTATAATTTTTTTTTTGTTTTAAGTAACTGTGTACAAATATCAATAAGTTTGGTCGTCACACGGGATTGGGAAAATCGAAAATGTGGACACACGTAATACATTATACAAAAGTATAATATTCACTGCTAAGTAATATACTTGACTATTACTTCCAGTTAAATTTAAACTAACAATGCTAAAATTACTAAATACTGACCTCCCACATCCAATCAACCACGATCTTCCTGAGGTTGGCCGTGAGGTCCTTCTGGACGGTTGCCAAATAGTCGGGAGCCGGCAAGCACCTGATCTCGGACTTGAGCATGGTGTCGAACACACGGTCATCCAACAGCAGCGTCGGATCCTTTTGAGCGACGGTTTTCGAAGTCGATTCGCAACACAACAGGTCCATGATTGTGACGATTACGTTGCGCGAATATAATATTATATTGTATTGTATTGGTGTGTATGCGCGAGCGAGGTGGACACCGTGCGACGGGAAGGAACAGAAAACCACGAGATTATAGTTTTAACGTAGAGAAATGTTTTTGACTGATTTTTTTAAATTATCGATTCGCGATAAAAAAAAAAAAAATAATAATAATAATAAAAAAAAATTGACAAGAGACGTGGTAGTACGCACGGGTACGGTTTTTACGACGACGACGGCGTGTGGTGTGCGTGTGTGCGAGTGGAGGAGCGTATGCGTAATAAAAGCGCGATGAAACGTCCGAACCCGGCAACGGACCAGGTCAGAATGCGTGTGCGCCGCGCGTCTCGTCGTCGGAATCGAATCAGTATCAGTGGGACAGCGCTCTGCAAGTGTGTGCGTATGCGCGCGCGTATGTGTGTGCGCGTGTATGTGTGTGTGTGCGCGCGCGCGCGTGGTATTGTGTGTGTGTGTGTGTGTGTGTGTGTGTGTGTGTGTCTGTCTACGTATAGCGCCGGCGAACCGTACACAGTCAAAGGAGAGGCGCGACACACACAAGCGCACGTTTACGCGACTGCGTTTACACACACTCTGACACAGAAGCGCGAGCTCGATCGCGCGCGCGCACAGGCAGACCCTCGACCGAATGTGGTGGTAGGTCCCACCAGCGATATATAAAAATTCTTTCACATGCCGAAAAAAAATATATAATAATAATAATAATAATAATAATAAGAAGAAGAAGAATAAATAAAATACGAACGAAAAAACCCAGGACTGTTGCGGCGGCGGTGGCGGCGGCGGCGGCCGAAGCACCGGTTTCGTGTCGTCGTGTGAGCGAGTGAGGGAGACAGAATGAGTGAGAGCACACGTGAGAATGAAAACGAGAGTGTGGGGGGGCACTGTGTACGTATTACAAAAAATTATTATTATACAATTACCGCCGTCATGTATATTGTATATCATACATATTATATGGCTACATATTATTTAGGTAGGTATAAAGCATACCTATACATCGTACACCAAAGTACATCAAACTACCTACCGCAACCGCTGTATACCACGTCATGGCGTTTACCCATAACGCATAAATTAAAATATTTTTAATGTTATTAGTGTTATTACGCACACGTCATTATTCGATTTTTCCCAACAGCTTACGAACATTCGTCGACTAAAATCGAAGAAAATCGTACTAGCCCCAAGAATTGGAAACGTTTTCTGCTTCCTAAGCGTATAAACGACTAATGAAAATAATTTTTTGTCAAAAATAAAGCCAATGTCTTGAAAAACCTATTAGTACCTATTATTTTATATTTTAGCGCTATTGACAAGTCGAAATTAACTTATAGCAGGTTTCTAAGTATCCATTTCAATTTCTCTACTTCAATAGTATTCACAGTACTTATTAAACACAAGTACCAGGGCACCAAGTTAGTTAATGCTCAAATTTAGATTTTATATTGCAAGTCTTAATAATAGATATTATATAATTTGAAAAAATTAGCATTTTTTTTTTTTTTTGGAACATCAGATTGGTTTATTCGATGATTTTTAATTAACACATTTTTTTTTTTTTTGACCGTAGTACAATTAACCATTTTTACAATTTCAAATCTATGAAATGTAACGAAACGTCCTCGTGTTAAGCGTACACAACCACCGAACAATTTATTTTTCAAGGCTTTTATTCAAATACATCTGTTTATAATAATAACGCAAAGAAAAAAAACCCATTGAATAACAGAAAACGTCGACGTCGCCTGTCGATAACAGGACCGGTCAAGGTTAAAACTGTATAATCCCTGTATTAAATAGTAAATGCTAAAAAGCCTCATTTTAATCTATACTTTAGATTTTTTTCTCCTTAGTCATAAAAGACACTTATCGGTTCATATCAAATGCATATTCATTTAATTCATGTTTTTTTCATATCTTCCGAAACTACATCGACAAGAACGTGTTGAGTCATATTACAAAAATATTAACACAATGGTTATAAGATAATATAATTATGTATAGTATCTTAAACCGCGGTTATCATATTTTTATTATATTAAATTTTAAGCATTTCATAAGTAGAGTGTAATATTTATTAATTGATAACCATTTAAGTTATGAGTTTATGACGACTGTGTAACCGCATGTCAACAAAGTTGAATAGTTTTTAACTTTAAGGAACATGGTATATTAAAACGATTACTACAGCGTTCAACCAATTAAAACGTCGAAATTTTAATTTGACGTATTAAATAATGGATGACATATGATAGAACTGCTAGAAGGTGCTTTTACTCGTTTTTTCCGTTCAACTTACCACACAGAACACACTATTTATTTTCAATCGATAGCAGTCGACAGGATAAACGCTTCAACATTTTCAAATATATGAACTAAATAATATAACAATGATACGTAAGTGAAGTAACATACAAGTATTAGTCTTAACTCTTAAATAACAATATTATCATCCAATCCCAACCGTTACGCCAATAACATCCCGCGAGTCTTTGGGTGGCGATATTAATTTCAATATTTCACAGACATAATAACAATAATAATACGCGTAACGTGGGCGTCAATAGTAAATTCATACAGAGTTTTTCCAAGAAAAATAGACAATAGAATGTGAATTAGACCAACGTCGACGTACAACGGACATATTATTATTATTGTGAATTGTGATTGGGTCAGGTGTTTTAATATAGGTCGTAAGTGGTGAGTAACTATAGTGTGGTGCCCGAAAGTAATTGTTAGCGACGCAACGTTTGTATATTATATATACAGGACGTCGCGGTTAAAATATATCGAGTCCGACTGATGGCAATAAAATGCGGCCATACACATCGTCGATTTTCTTTTGTAGTGTAATTTTATGGGAAATACTTTTACGGTGTGAATAATAATACGAACGCGCCCGTAATAAATTACACTATGCGTCGTGGTTTCGATTTTCAAAGGGAATCGTATAACTGCATAATAATATAATATCGTTGTTGTACAGTATATGCCATACGCAGTAAACGGACGAACGAATTCAAATAGCCCCGAATGTACCCACCAACCTATATTAATGATATTGTATAAAAATTAAGGCTCAACAATTTTAACTTATAAGTTGCATTTTTCTGTAACAGCCGCTGGCCATGTCAGAAATGCATTCTAATTACAATGAAAAGTTTAAACACGAAAATTAAAAATACATATTTTTGCTTGTTTTATTAATTTTAAAAGTTAAGCACTACCTCGAAATCTTATTAGATTTTTATGCAATTTTAATATTTTCTAAAAAAAATATGTTTTCTTACTGAATTATTTAAAATAGGTATTTTCTTTTTCTTAATATTTGAACAACGTAAATAAATCCATTATTTTCATTTAATATAACAAAACTTTTTGATACGGCCCAACAATATAATATGCACATGATATGCCACAGCTACGTGATATGTACCTAACAAGATTTTACTAAAAATATCTTTATTATTATTGTTATTTTTAATACAAAAATAATTTTAAAATATACTAGTATATGTTTAATAATCTATAGTTTTAAATTTTTGTTTTTTGTATATTTTATTGATTTTAATTTTCACAATTTCCAAACCCTAATAATTATAATATTATAGAAATATAGAATTTATGATTATATCTATACGGTTGAGTTAAAATTATTTAAGACTTTGAACAATTATTTTACAATATAATAATTAACATTATGTTTATGTGTAAAACGTTAAAGATAGTTTATATGTATATATATATATTATAATGCTATACTACGTAGATCGCAGGTACGTCGATGGAAAATAAATTATTAACGACGTGCAGGTCGCAATGCAAAATTAACGTTAGCACTTAGTACTCATTAAAAATAATAATATTATAATTTATAACATATCGAAACTAATGTTCAAAACTACTGAATATTATTATGCAATACGCTTCATATGTTATACAAAAGTACATATCATTATAAACGATCGATTGTGAAGCGCGTCTTAGTACGTGATACTGACTAACCAGCCGGCTGACTGGCTAATAAACACAATTTTATTCTTATAAAACATTCTTACTATACATGTATTGTGTATAGTTTTTCGAACTGTTGATTATTTTTAATGAACGTTCGCTTTGGCGCAGTGACATTGGTTCTGACACCAAATTTTGATAATTTACGACAAAAACTATTTAATGGATGCGCACAACATTCGTCGTTATAAGGACTTTCTGTGTAACTATCGTTATAGTCTTATGTATTTTATGCAATATATTTTATAAATACTTATCAGTTATCATACGCATTTTTTATGTCACAATAAGAAGCACGTTAAAACAATGTATTTTTATTTTTATATACACACAATATACGGTATTATATATAAACCGAATCGAAAATATATTACACAAAACCGTTTATGACTATTTCCTATTGACTATATATTGCTAGTTATCACGTATTTTGTTTAAAATCAAATAATAAATATAATTAGAATGATGAAGCACTTCTCTATTTCGTGTGCAGGTACTTCATTAAATAGTTCCCGTTACGAAAAACGTCGTAAAAACTTATTGGTTTAAATTGTTACATAGTAGGTATAGACAGTATAGTTAACCATTAAGTTAAGTCCACATTCTACATTCTCTATCAATTACATTAGAATTTTTTAAAGTATAAAACGAACGTTCTTTATAGTTTATATTAGGTAACCTCCAACATATTTTCATGGTGAATTCAGTATTTAAAGATTTCAAAAATCAAAAATAATAAATTCAATTGTTCAACATATAAGGCTTGGGAAAAACACATGATATTATAATAGATAGGTACCTTAATATATTTTACATACAAGTATGTATTCAATGTTTTCCAAGGTGATGAAACGAAAAACTAAGATGTTTAAAAAAAAAGTATTAATTGCTTATCAGTGTATATTGTGTACTGGTGTGTATATACGAGTATACCTATATTTAAAAAGAAAAAGTAATTTTTATACAACAGTGAAAATAATTTTATAGTAATAAATTTAATAAAACTATGATAAAAATACTACAGTTCAACATTGTATTTGTATCCTTTTATAAATAGGTTCTATTTAGGATGAAAATGCATCATTTTATATGGTATCACAAAATACATAATATTTCTCTATATCTCACATGATAGTTAGTAGGTGGTATCTACACGCATGTGTTTAATACTCACATCGCAATTTCGTCTGATCATACACAATACATTTGAAAATATAATGAATACAACTTATTAAAATAATAATACAAGTAAAGACGGTAAATTTCTTAACTTTATGGTTATGAATAAGTCTAATTTGTTTCTATTTCAATGTAACAGCTATACATAATATGGATACAGTTATAACTTTGTTATTTATAATCTCCGTACAAGATTATATAGGTACCTA